GTGTGTGTGTGTGTATATGAAGACCGCCTGAGATTTTTCTTTTAAATGAGCATTTTTAATCAGGCTCCTAGGAAAATAACTTTGGACGTTGAAAATAAGTAATTTCAATAACTGACTAATAATCTTTTAATTCCCATTAAAGTGAAATTACTGAATAAAAGCCTGATAAAAATACTAATTTAAAAAAAAAAATTTCAGAAAAAATTCACTTTTTGACGGACTCAGGCGGAGGTATATTACATATTTAAACATTTGTTTTTGTTTATATATATATAAAAAGAAACCCATCTAAATAGTGTAAAGGTGTTCTGTTAAACACTGTGTTGGATGTGGAAATGATGTATGTGATATCACTGGCCCTAAATTTAATTTACACGGTAGAATATGGTATTTCACTCTATCTTTTAGGACTGAGAATACAGTTGTGAGAAACCTAAAATTAATCATTGCACACATAAAAAAAAAACAAGTCAAAACAACATTATTAACAAACAAAAAAATCCCCAGTTCCGGCTCAGATGAAAGAGTATATCGAAAAGAATGGTGGGTGATTGAAGAAAGCTATAAAAAGGAGCTATTTTAGTAATCCTTATATACAAAATGACCCATTTTGCTGCATCTTCATCAGCAAACCATATCTGTTAATTTCAGCAGGGCTTAGTTTAATGTAATTTCTCTCATTTTTCCACTTATTGCCATAGTGTGCCATGAGGAATGAGTGGTAACATGCAGTATCACGTTCATAAATGTCTCCTGTGGCCTGTTTCTGAAGTAGAAAGAGCAAAATATTGAATGGCTTGTAGCTATTTTGATGCTTTTAAGGCAAAGCAGGTGCTATATTAATACAGACGGGGCAGTGAATCCCCAGCAGGAAAACAATCAAAGGAATTAAATGAATCAAATACTAAATGTAATCAGCATGCATGAATGTTCAAGTACAGCAGATAAAACAGGAGCACAAAACCTTCTCAAACGCGGGGGAAAAATGAAGCCAAAAATCCAGCAGAAATGTGTCAGACAAAATTACCTGAAAAAGATACCGGTGTCTGCAATACTTAATTTATGGCATTATTAAGGGATCATCAGTGTCTTATGGTCGGCTATGGAATGATGGAGTGTGTAATTATATTTAGTCCCACAAGGATATGAAGCATAGCCGAGGGAAAGATGAAATTAATTAGAACTCTCATCCACAAAGTTAAGACCATTAATGATTAGCACTGTAATTTCAATAATAACTCATACAGGGCGTGGTAAGATATTATGTATATTATTATATTTATTACACCTAAATAATAGACAGTGATGACTGAATACAAACACAATCTAATTTACTTACAACACCGTGTCAATGAATAATGCAATTTTATGGAAGAACAGTGCGTGTTAAAACCTTAGCTGATACAACTTTAGATTGACATTGTTGTGTTGTATATGCCTGTGTTATTTTCAGACTGAAAGATGATAGTTATTACAGTTAGCCAACCTCTGGGAGTGAAACGTGGCAAGATATCTGATCTACAACTGTCGTTAAATATTAAGAATTTCAGTCAAATGTGTAATTACACCCTTGAAGAGTCAAGGAAGAAAAAGAGATGTATTTATAATCACAAGACTGTCTGGAAGGGGTTAAAACACCTGTTCTATTAGCTTAGTAGTAATATTATATGTATTATATTGTGACTTTACGTAGTGAAAAATTAAGAACTTTCTGTGAAGTTTCTCACTGCACAATAGTAAAAAATTACTTTCTTTTTTGTAAAGAGATACTTTCACTGCCAGTTTGAGTTGAACTGAAAAAAAGTCCTTTGCTGCTATTGTGATGCCTTTTTTTTAATCTTTCTAACATCATTCATCATCAGTGTTTTTTTCTCTCCAAATATTGGTATTGGATCTGTGCCATTTTGGACCATTTTTAGATGAACTATTGTAATTTAAGTGTATAATATATGATTATTATCTTGCCTGTTGTCATGGTTTTTAAAACAGAAAAAAATGAATTGTTGTGATGTGGAAAAATTACATTAAACATGCATGGGAAACCAAGGAGGAGTGTACAGTAAGTGAAAAATCATATTCACAATCACACCATGCTCTTGGTAGACACTAATCTGAGAGAAATACCTTGTAATATGAATTTTTTTATTTTTTCAGAAAAATGTAAATGGTAAAACAATGGCTAAATGTAATTACAGAATGAATCTACAACATATTTTTATTTATTTATCATTGCTAAGGTCATGGGTGTGATTCCCAGTGAATGCTGATAATGCACGCTATGCCTTCAGTGCAGTGTCGCTTTGGATAAAAGAATCTACCAAATGCATAAATGTAAATTTAGTTGTAGCTTTGCTGCATGTTAAAACAGCCCTTTGTCTTTTTGCCTGGTGTGTAGACTTATGGCACAAAAAACACAACATTTTTGGTTGCTGCTTAATGTCATATAACAGATAATTTGTTAATGTACATTAGTTTAAAAGTCATTCAAGTTAATCATATATTTTCACACACAGCAGTCATGAACTAATGATCTGTAATTAACCTACTAATTACATTTAATGTGTCTATTGTGTCACAATCCTCCTCTACATGAGTTTGTGTGAAACACACGGACTGAGAAATCCTCAAATTCAGAATTGGTTTATGTTGCACTTTGGGTTTTTAATAAAATCACTACTTTAGTTGCACGATGTTTATGGTCCTCCAGATATTTAATGCTAACAGTTTAGGAACAAAAGCTGAGCGTGATAAAAGATGTAATGAACTTCAGGACAACAAAGCGACAGTCAAACGATGAAATAAGTCTATTGAGTCAACTTTTTAGTCTCATCCAGAGCGCTACATCATATCCAGAAGAGAGTTATAAAGTGGTCGGCTTTACCTGAGCTCAGAGTTCCTGTGATTAATCGAGCTATGTGCTGAGTGAACTTGATCAGCTGCCGCTTGCATCGTCGCCGTCGGCTGCTCATTTTCATTGACAGAGAAGGAAGGAGATCAAAAGCGAGTTCTCTGGTTTATTCCAGTGTTCTGTCGGCTTGAGTTGCGCTTGTTTCAGTTTCTGGTCTGGTATATGGATGAAGAGAAAGGTGTGAACGCGCTGCAGCTTTACAAACACCTGAGAGCGAATCTGTCTCTCTCTCGCTCTCTCTCTCTCTCTCTCACACAC